CTTGACTGGTGTTATGGGGGGCGCGGGGTATGAATGTGGGCGCAGACGGGTTCAGATCAGTCCAGTCCTGACACCAATACATCACATTAACACCAGTTTTACATTTAATCACTGTTTTACTTACCAAAGGACCAAGCTTAAACATGGTCATCCTAGTTATCTGATCGCAAACACCAATCAAATCGAGAATTTATATTGAATACGCTTAAAATGACACTGATACTTTTGTGATGTTTACAAAAGTTTTAAATTCACACTTTCTTTAGGCATTCATTTATAACGTTACAAATGTTGGGGTTTCTCTAAATTGAGTGCAATTTGTTAACTTAATTACTAATTATTTCTAATTTAATCTAAATCTAATTACTTAATCATCATTTATAATACCAAACATTTCTTATAAAATATAAAAATAATAAGCAATTGTCATCAATAATAAATAATTTAAACAAATTTGAGAATACAGTATGACTGGCAATCATAAGCAAATGAAATACCCTTTGAGTGAAACACACAGTATTTGAAGGGCTCATCAAATGTAAACACAAATGCAATGAACTGTCAAAATGTTTGTGTTTTCTATAAAAACTTTATTAAAAACTCATAAATAGTTTGTGTTTAAAAATTATAATAAATTAAATTTAAATTTAATTTAATTTAAATGAAACGCAAGTGTAGTGTAAGTATTGATTCATTTTCAACCATTTATTGATTATATTCTTCGACTTTCAGACCAATAAAATAAGCCATCATTTGATCAATGAATTGAAACTACAATTGTGTTCAATCGGTTGTCATCAAAAGCCATCCTATTTATGGGAACTAAGTTTCGGTGATTGCGATCATGTCCTCAATGTCTGCCACGAGCTGGACATCCATCTCAACGATCTTAAAGTGATTCAAATCAATGACATCTTATTTATTGCAAACTTTGAGCATTTATTAAGACATTTGACAAACTTATTGAACGACTCGTTCATTGCATTCATCGATGTCTCGCCTGATCTCCAGAAACCACAACTTCTTACTCAACAACAGATCCAATCAAAGAAAGCCATTATAAGAGATCTACTGAATCAACTGAACACAGATTCACATGAAATTTCATTGCATTCATCGATGTCTCGCCTGATCTCCAGAAACCACAACTTCTTACTCAACAACAGATCCAATCAAAGAAAGCCATTATAAGAGATCTACTGAATCAACTGAACACAGATTCACATGAAATAAAGATTGTAATTGAGATAAATAGTGGTATAGATATGTGTTTGATATGCGGATCAATGTTAGGCTATCCTATCATTTATTGCAATAATGATCACCAAAGAGGCAATTGTCTCGCATATCAACCACTTTGTGCTTATAGTGTCCAAAGATTAGACTCCAATTATGCCATCTATTCATTCAGTTGTCCACAAGAATACAACCAATTATTTGAAATGCATATCAATTCATGGTTGGACTCAATGAACGCACAGTCCATTACCGGTAGTTCCGGAGCTCAGAGTTTGTCACTCAATACATGTATCAAAACAATGCCGTTTGTATTGACTTGAAATTTGTTTAATTAAATTACTTATGTTTTAAATTTCATAACATTGGACTAAAATTGAGTGAAAATGACTAAAACTACTGCTCGTCTCTGTCTTCAGACTCTTCCTCATAGTCATTGAATATCGCACTTAAGTCTGGAACCGATTCCTCGTTCTCTTCATATTCATTGTCCTCATCGTCCGACACATCAATCTTAACCAAACCGGTGAACAAAGCGTAGCCAACCATCGCTGCCGTTGCGAACAGACCCGAGAGTATAATATCTCTCCATTTATGGGGAAAGTCGTTGTCTTCTTCGGGATCGGCCGAAGTGCTGTTCGAATCACTTGTCGTTGTCTTCGAGTTATTGTCTTTATGTGTCGGGAAATACTTGGAAAGGATTTTATTGACAAATTTTGTCAGATTATCACACGATTTGATGTGATTCTGAAGGATGCGGTTGTGTGTCGGCACTGGAGGTTAGGTTTGAAAAGTTTGGTTTTATAGGTATTTCCATTTCAAACCATTAGGTGGTTGGCTAGGATGGTAGGCAGCCAACGAGAGTCACGCGTACAGTATGTCTTTTTGTCACCGGTTACAGGAGGGTAGGGTAGGGTAGGGTAGGGTAGGGTAGGTGAGTGTTTGCCCGTCCAGGTGGCTGCCAACCTAACCCCTAACCCACCGAATGGTTTGACATCGAAATAACTATAAAACCTTTGAGAAGAGGCGCCAAATAGCCAAAGACTAACGCATCGAAAGAACTGGGATTTTGGCCGAAGAAGTACTCGTCTTTGAGGCGCTCCGACAGCAGAGTTAAGCACTTCTGGGCCTCACCTATGATTGCGCTCTCAATCATCGTATCGCTCACATCGCCGTTCAATGCCTGTCCGCCAAACCTCGAGCGCACCGTCTTCTCAGCGGCCGTCTTGTAGTGGTTTGGTATGAAGTAATTGGTGGGAAAGGGAAGTCTCTTCGCATACCAGCCCCTCATCAGCTGTTCGTAGTTATTGTTGTCGCACCACAACAGCCACATCAGCGCCGGCTCTAATTGGGCTTTCAGTAGTGCCTCGTATGCCAACACATCCGATATGTCTTTGGCCGACAGATTGAAGTCTGCGCTATAGTTCTGTTCCTTCAGATAATGGATCAGTTTCTTCATTTCAAACACTTTTGTCGTTTTGTGCCGAAATGATGGCAAAGAAGACCAAAACGGGTTATTCGTTGCGTTTGTCTTTATGGGAACTCCACTGCAATCATCACCACAAGCAGGTCATGAGTAATGAGAGCAATCAATGGTGACATTCATATGATTACCTGAATCTACAAAAGGCTAACATCTGAAGAGATTTGAAGTCAATTGAAGGCAAACCCCAATCGCCGGACCAGACGTTGAGTTCAAACTGAGCACTCATTGTGTGGCACTATATCTGCAAATGTTGTTATGATTTACAGATATGACAGGAAATCAATTGAAAACACATATGAATGGCAAGTGATCTCAAAGTCCAATGAATGCAATGTCTTGTAAGATGTGATCATTCTTTGGATTCAAAGTTTCCACAAACATGTGACCAAACGTTCACTTATTTTACAGACGTTTCACTCGCTTTTCAATTCATATGTTTCTACAATAAATGCACGCATTTTGCACACATTGGCGGTGTTTACTATACCAACAAAACTAGACCTCAAATCATCTAGCTTGCTATCATTTGTAACTAGCCCAACTCTGCTGTTAGGGATCATTATTATAGCAATTAGTCATTTAAGATAATTAATTAAATATATGTTTTATATCAAATATAAGTGTCCCTCTTCAATTTTCTTATAATATTTCATACATTCATAAGTGTTTTATGAATGCAAAGCCCATTGTGTGTCATATGTATGGCCCGATCCAGTGCTCAACTCTAGTGTAGTATAGTTTAGGTCTAATTGAATTGAATTGAAATCAATTGACACATCATTTAATTAATTGATTGATAAGTGAAAGACAAGTATATATCACATCTCAACACAAATATAGCACTCATTTGTGTATTTGTGTCCAACAAATACAAGAATCGCAATAATATTTGAGACAAATATCGGCGACAACTGGTGAGGAATGTCGGGCCAAAGAACTTCTCCGCTGAAGAACTTCTTTGCGGGCGGTTTCGGTGGCATGTGTTTAGTGACAGCCGGACACCCGTTGGACACAATCAAAGTACGGCTGCAGACGATGCCTATACCCCCGGCCGGACAGACAGCCCTATACTCGGGAACCTTTGACTGCGCGAAGAAGATTGTCGTGAAAGAGGGAGTGTTGGGTCTCTACAAAGGAATGGCCGCTCCTCTCACGGGAGTCACCCCTATGTTTGCCGTCTGTTTCCTCGGCTTTGGTATCGGAAAGCGTATACAACAGACCGATGCCGACGACCCCTTGACTTTAGTACAGCTCTTCAAAGCGGGAATGATTTCCGGGGTCTTCACGACAGCCATTATGGCTCCGGGAGAGCGCATCAAATGTCTGCTTCAGGTGCAGGCGGCCAATACCGGCGCCCAAATTAAATACAAGGGTCCCATCGACTGCGCCAAACAACTGTATGCAGAGGGAGGCCTCAGAAGTATATATAAGGGAACGGCGGCCACTCTGTTGCGGGACGTACCGGCCAGTGGTATGTATTTTATGACATACGAGTGGTTGCAACACGTGTTGACACCAGAAGGCAAATCCAGAAGCGATTTGAGCGCCGGTCGCACTCTTTTTGCCGGAGGAATGGCTGGAATTTTCAATTGGTTGGTCGCCATTCCTCCCGATGTGCTCAAGTCTAGACTCCAAACGGCACCGGAGGGTACATATCCTAAGGGTATTAGAGATGTGTTTAAAGTGATGATAAGAGAAGAAGGCATCCGAGCTTTATATAAAGGCGCGACTCCTGTCATGTTAAGAGCCTTCCCCGCAAACGCCGCCTGTTTTTTCGGCTATGAGTTGGCCATGAAGTTCCTCAACAAGTTTGCACCCAATCTATAACCAAATGTCAATTTATGCCTCAATTCTTATATACACATAATTGCACAGAATATACACAGAATTGCAATAGTAATCCATTTCTATTTAAATCATTTTAAGGTTGTCTCCAATATGCAATTAAATAATGTATTGCTAATTCATAAGTATATTTTGTGATACTGTATACAGTATGTTTTACACTTTAATCAATAAGTATTCAATATTCCCTGTATGTCTGACCACTGAGAAAAGTGTTAACCCTAACCAATACGAGTTGTAATCAATTCTGACGTTTTTTATAATCGTGGTTAAGAAAATGGATGTATAGTATGCTTATTATCAAAGTTATGGTTTATTTTCATATTATGTAACAATTGTATGAATTTAAAGGGTCTCTTACGGTATATGAAGTGCATTTTTTATGTTATGGGTCTCCACTCTATGTAAATACAGATATAATAATGTTATATAAAATATATTATGAAATGTTATCTCACTCTCAAATTTGGCCATTAGATGAATAATAAATATAAAGTAATATTGAGATATATTCTAGGACATTATTTAATAATTATATACTGTACTGTACTGTACAGTGAATTCTATTGATAACTTTATTTGACTTTTAAAATGTCAAACCTATTGCTCATTTCAAATCAATTTATTCACTGGTTAATTTTATTATTATTCTTATTTCTACTGTTAATTATGAATTAATTAAAGAAATAATATTAATTCTGGCAATATTTTCAAGCTTATTTAATTAAGTGTACAAGTTTTTTATGTATTAAGTAATAAAGAATAAAATTTTTATTAAATTAATAGATTTATGAAACGATTTAATCTATATCTTTAAAATATTGTTTTTTATTTTAAACTTTATTTTTATGTAGTTTGTAATGTTAATTTTAATTAAATATTTTTTACAAATTGTGTTTGAATTATTATATTATATTTTATTATTAATATTAAAATATAAAAGAAATTCTTTTTTTTAATAACTTTACAATACAAAATCAAATTACTTGAAAAGTTAATTTTTAAAGTTATCTAGAAAATAGTACCTAAAAGTCATTAGATATTCAAAATCCAATTAGTTTTTAATTTCATAACTCGTTTATTAAATGGAAATAAATTAATTATTAGTTAGTAAAATTAACGTTTTAATTAAACAATTAGAATCTACAATCTTTTTAGAAATACTATATCAATAGAGTACAGATATTATATTAATATAAAAATGTTTATTTTCTAAGAAATCATGTCAATCATTGGCTAATTTTGAAAGTTGTATGGAAAACACCATAAATCATTTAGTTATAATAACTATTTTAACACTTTTAAGTTTTATTGGAAAGTTAAATTTTCTGTTCAATGACTCGTATCTATTGTACAGCAATTTGCGTCAATATATACGTATATACAATATATATATATATATATATATATTATACAAAGAATATTAAGACTTTTTAAGTGTTGACCTTCTCTTACATAATACAGTAATTACATAATATTTTATCAAAAATCCTTTGAATTCAAGTGAAATGTATTAAAGTTTTTTATAATAAAGGTTTCATAAATTAAATTGAATAGATTTTTCAAATTAACAATGTCATAAGTTTTGTACAGTATATAAAATTTTATAAATATAACTTACAATAAAATAATATCTTTTTATGAATTAACTATCGATATTTGTAGAATATAAATTTTTTACAACTTATTTAAATAATTCATTAATTCTTATGAATTATCGTATTATTAAAAAATTTTGAGTTTGCCAAATTAAAATATTTAATGAATTATTAATTATTATTAATCTAAATCATTATATTTTATAAATTATATTCTTTTATTTTGGTAAATAATGAAACAGTATATAATCTTAGATTATAATCCCTTATAAATACCTGTATTATCTTATATCTCATGTATTTTGTATATAAAATTCTATTACATTTGAACAAAAGTTCCAATAATTACTGAATTGTTTGTCTTCATCTTATAATTGTGTGATAAAATCAAAAATACTTAAAACATCAATATTATTGATTTAATACTATAAAACACATTACATTGTAAACTCAAAAAACCTTGAAAATTCAAAGAATTGAAAATTTAATAAATACTACAATATTTTGTCATATAATTTCTCTAAAGTATTTAGACTTATAACAAAACTTTGTACAATCCTATTGATTCTACAATGAATGTATAAATACAAAGAATAGGCATATTCTGGTACCCTTATAGGATCCTTATACTTTTATCCATAATTCCCCAGATTTTCAATTCAATTATTCGGTATTTCCTAAAAATTGAGTAATATAAAAGGGTATATAAAAAGCATTTACTCATATATTTATTGAACTAACTCTGGAAACAAGTGTGAAATGTTTCACACAAGAGTTGTTTGCTTGACTTTCTTGTTGAGCGCATTACTGCTCAATGATTTAGATATTGTACAGACAGTGCCCTGTTGTGGCTACAGACCCCGGTGCTGTGGTGGTGGTGGCTATGGTGGTGGCTATGGTGGTTACCGTCGAGTGGCTTATTTCCGACCACGAGCATGCTGCTTTCATAGACGTAGACACTGTTGTTATGGCAAAAAGTGATTCACTAATGGAGATACCACTCATAGACTATTATATAATTTCATTAATAATAAATACTGATGAATAGTGTACTGATATACTGTATGTAAACTAAGAACTTGAATATAACTAAATGTCATGAATACTTGCTTTTTATATAAAATTATATTAATCGGATATGTTTTAAATAAATTAACTAAAAATCTGTAATTGAAACAAAAAATTAATTTGAATAAAATACTGTAAATGCAAGTTTGTTCTGTAAATTATAATAATCATTAATATAGTTGTTATATTTGTCAATAAAGCACTAATTCTGTAACCACTTTATTAAATTTAGCAAATATAACAAATAAAGTACCTATGCAACAAAATTTACTTTGACTAATAAATTAATTAAATTTAAAATAATATTCTACTAAAAGTATACTAGTTGTCAAGAATTTCATACTAACTTATTTGTAACTTTATATTGAAATATTGAATAAAAATAGGACTGAAAACCTTTCACAACAACTGAATTAAATAATTTTTATGTTAAATTAAACGGTAGAATCAAAAGTGTTGGAAAGAAATGACCAACATACATATTATTATGAATACTGTATGTGAAGTTACTGAATAAGTTTACGAATGATCATAAATATGAAGCATGGCAATTAAAATAGCATTTCATTTACATAATTAAAATAGTATACTAGTAACATAAATTGTATCAATTATTATAATAATGTTTTCCCGAGAATAGTCAAGAGTTAAATTTAGTATTGATATGCATTGCATATGTTTTACAAAGTGTGTCAATCAGATGCTGACCACCAGTTCCCTTGCAATCAAATCTATGTTCAGTGAGAGTGTTGAGAGTGAGTGGAGTGGGAGTGGAGTGGAGAGAGGCATAGGAAACGTGTTTTGTTGACAAACACTCACTGTTTGAGTGAATGTGTGATGTCTTGAGATGAGTCGGTCGACCACTGCATCGGTGGACCAATTGGTGGACAGGGCTGTCAAGTGTGTGCAGTCCATGCAATACAGTGTCAGTTGCGGTCACTTCTTAGTGGCCTTCAAAGTATCACTTAATTGTCAATCACGCGAATCACACCAACAATTGACAGACAAATGGAGACCAACTTTCTTGTATGCCTTCGACAGACATATGAATCACTTGCAGACTGTGGTCAACGCAGACAACGACACTATCATTGATGCCTTCAACGAAGCCATAGAAGCGCTTCCAGACTGCGAAGACCTTCACTACAATAAAGGCCTCTATTTTTTCAAGTAATTGGTCTTCAATTGTCTCATATGAATGGCACTAAAAGTTTGTTCAATCCATAGAAAAGGATGTCTTTCAGAGGCTGTCGAGTGCTTTGTGTCATCGCTGGCACTGAACCCGGACTATAATTTGTCTCATTTGTGTCTCGAGAACATCAAGTCTTCGGCTATCGCTCGATGGCATTACATAATGATCAACGATATCAAGAGAAACAGTGTCTTCAAGACAGCCATTCATAGGGCCATTGAAAGCGGTTTTAATACTGTTTTGGATATCGGCGCCGGTTCTGGACTCTTGAGGTATGGATACTATCCAATGAGACATGAATTGTGAACTCATTTGTGTCTTCAGTCTATATTCGGTGAAATCTGGCGCTCATAAGGTCTACGCGTGTGAAGTGTCGGATATGTTATACCATTTATGTCGAGATGTGTTGCAAACCAATGGAGTGATGGATAAAGTGGTGCTCTTCAACGAAATGTCCACTAATTTACGTATTCCTCAGATGATTGAAAAGCCGTAAGTCTTGTGTCCATTGATTTATTAGCAGAATGTGATGAGAAATGAATTAATTCACTGATTGCCTGAAGAGTACATCTGGTGGTGACCGAGATATTCGACGCGGCGTTGTTTGGCGAACACGTCTTAACCACTATTTACTCAGCCCTTAAGAATTTAGTTGATCCCAACCACGGAATGGTTGTCCCAAACAGAGCTACAGTTTATGGGGTTCTTATAGAGAGTAATGAATTGAGAGATGTTTTTACTGTTAACCGAAGACAGTTCGGAGACATTCGTGTTTCAGATGACGTGTCCTTTTGTGTCGATTTTAATGATATGAAGTACACGACAACCAATTTGTCCAAAGTTGCCGACAAAAAGTTTTTAAGCAAACCATTTGAAATAATTGATATCAATTTCAATGATATTTTGCAAATCGAAAAACTCTTAGAAAGGGATCACATGTTTGGCATTGATGTGAATTGTGTGACTGAGGGAACACTTGATGCGATCGGAGTTTGGTTTGACTTAAATCTAATCCAAGACATTCACATATCAACAGAACCTCCTTCTGAGCTAATAGGATGGGAACAGGCTATATATCCGGCAACTGTCCGACCCGTCACTGTGTCTAATAAAACACACATTTCTATGAATTTTACTCTCAATGAGGATTTCTTAAAACTAAAAGATCTGAAAGTAACTGGTACAAACATGAAACCAAATGATTCCCAAATAATTCATTTAAATCCAGAACTCATTAAGTATTTAAATGCGAATAATTTTCACGACTTATATATTACTGCATTGCAAACAGTGATGAAAAAAGAAAGGATTACAAAAATAATTGATTTGAGTTTCTTTCCGATTTCGAGCCTACATTGCATGGCTAGCCATATGTTATCCAAACTAACAGTAATCAGTGATGACAATGACATAAGAGACTGCATTAAAAAGTTCATTAAAATCTGCAAAATAAATGCCCATAAAATAGATGTATTAGATTTTGATGATTTGGTCTCAAATGATAAACAAATAGCAAACTCTTTAGTCCTCTTAGATCTCATTGAAACTTCTGGTCTAATGAGAAGCAATATATTAGAGAAGTTGGCATTTCTTAACATTTATTCAGTAAAATCTCCTATTTTTATGCCTTTCAAAGTCATTATCAAAGCATTACTTATTCAAAGTGAAGATCTTATCAGTCGGTCCAGACTTATTAGCGACCAAAACGTCCACGGATTCCAGATTAAGAGTTTTCTTAATGTTTTTGAGGTTAGTATAAATAATTTACCTTTTAAATATTTAAAGTTTTAATGAATTTATATTTTTTAGACTGAAATTCTTCAAAACATTGATGTGAAGAAAATTGAATATTCAGAACTGAGTGACTCTTTCGACTTATTGGAAATCAATTTCAATGATTTAAGTCAATCAAAGGATGAGATCGATGTCGAGCCAAACAATAAGTGTTGTGTGAATGTTGTTCAATGTGGACAATTGGATGCAATACTCTATTGGTATGAATTGCATTTAACTCAACAAATTGTCATCAACTCATTCAATATGAGTCCCAACTGGCATTTGGCAGCTTTTATATCCAAAGAACCCATTGCTGTCAATCCCAAGAATATGATTCAGTTCTCAGTGATGTTCACTAATGGTTTCTTACGGTTCAAGGATTTGCGTTGCGAGCCATTTATTTAGACTTCAAATGATTGAATGAATTAATTTTATATGTTATGTTGATTTTAAATAAAATTACAAATATTTATTTTGTTTAATGTAAAAATTAATTTACAAATATTCAAAATCAATGAGATTTTAGTATTTTTCATTATGAAATTAATAAAAATATAAAAATACAAGAATTTGTAAGAATAATGTATTATTTGGGGATAGAGTGCGAGAATATACCCTCAGCTCTGGGCAATAGAGACGAAGTTTTAGCGATTTTGAAAAGTATTGCTGAAATTGCTTTGACGATCGGGTAGAAGATTCCGTACCGATAACTGATTGGATTAAAGGTCTCGTATTCGTAAGTCATTGCAGACCGACATCCGATCTCAAACTTGTTGATTGAATCGATTGTGCAGTTATTGTGTGTATACTTAATGTACCAGAAATTGCAGCAATATTTGGGCAGTTGTTGGGTATCGTTGTGATGGACATTCCAGTTGGAGTGGATGTAGTCGTTGGGTGAGAGCCAACCGCAACACTTCTTCAGGCGGTGAAAGTTTGTTGTTTCGAAACAACTGCTTCTGAATCGACAGCTTTGGTTGGGATCATAGTCACGGATGTGAGACATGTATATCTCTTTCACTATGACCTCATCAAACAAATCGATTCCTGACTGGTATTTGCGAACAGTTATGCATAATATCAACACAAGTGATGCCAAACTAAACATCTCATATGAAAACCATTTCTCGACATAACCGGATAGAAGGGCCAGTAGTAAGACTCCGAATGATAGGAAATTTATTAATATAATTATATTATATAAGGAAACGGTAGACAAGTTAGAGAAATCGGCTAAAATTATGTATCGGACTGAGAATGAGAGTAAATGTGCGAAGAATATATATCCGCCTAAAACTGATTCAATGATTATAATGATGGCCGTCGAGACCACAAGAACACCAATGAATAGAGTTAAACACATCTCTTTTAAATGAGACATAAACTGTGATAAGTATAACTGATTTTAAATTAAAATTTTTAATCCATAAGTTAATTTCAATCCGTTATTTAACGCATTCCAACAATAATTAAAAATTATAACCTACTGTAGTAGTAAGTTACTAGTAGTGTGTAATTACTGTATGTAATCATAAAAGTACCGAGTACTTATAATTTCTATAAATCTTTATATTTTTATAATACTGTAGGTTTGTAAAGTGTATTTTCTAATTTTGTACAATTTATAAATAAGATTACTATTTCAGTTACTTTGAATCGTTATAAACAAAATTTGATACATACAGTACAGTATGATAACATTAAGTTTACGAACAGTAGGTAAATTATAAGTAGGTCTTACATTGTGAAATTAACGCTACAACTAAAATTTAGTATAATTATTTTATTATAGCAAGAATATTAATTTATTAATAGTTTTAGTATAAAACACTCAAGATTAGATTTTGCATAAATGATGGTGACATTGTGTATATTTGAAAATTAGTTACAATAAACGATTGTTTGGTTCCCACGGCGTTAGTCTTCACCAAAATCAATACAATATTGAGTGGCGTTTATAATACAATAGCTTTTCGCCAATTTTCCACACCATTACCCGTAACAAGCGTTGGCTCTCAGTATTCACAACAAATAATTAGCAACACATCAATATTAAATATATCAACACAAATCTATTCAATTGAATATATAATTAATTAAAAAGACAAATCAGAATAATATCATTTAGAAGTGAAAACTTTTAAAAATTTAATGGGAAGTCATAAAGAATTAGAAAATCATTTGCATACATTTATTTGCAACATATAAAAGCATTGAACATAATATTTAAATAGAAATATAGCTTTAATAGAATTACATAAAAATCTTCTCTGGTATTGAGTTATGTAATTGAAAAAATGGATTATAAGTTATGATAAGCCTGTGTTTGAGAGCTCTTACGTGAAAGACTTAACCGCAGATAATAGTCGTGTGATCTTTAATACGATGCATACAAACCCATCCCTATCCCTATCCCTATCCATATCCAAATCTAACGCTGCGGTGGCTTTCAATAGGCGTTTCATTCATCGGTTTTTCATTGAAATGAGAAACTCGTTGAGAGACACGCGACTCAACACAATAACTCAAACACATTATACTCGAGGTATACATCATTTGAAGTGACCGTATAGTCATATGTAGAGTCAGGCTTTTGCGGACCAAATTTAATCTAAAGCCTTTATTTTATATACACTATGTTTTCGTTAAAACTGAAAAGTTCTTATCGGTTATTTATCATGGATTATCCCAATGGTTTAACCTTTGATCCCTAGCAGTGAGACATGCAAATAGTTTTGGGATAATCCATGATAAATAAATGATAAGAACTTTTAAGTTTTGAGGAAAACATAGTGTATATAAAATAAAGGCTTTAGATTAAATTTGGTCCGCAAAAGCCTGACTCTAGTCATATGATAGCCATATAGTCACCAATCAGTAGTTCCAGTCTTATTGACTCATTTTGAACGCATTCTTTTAAATGTACAGCAATTCAACATTCATTCATAATAATATTAATTATTTTCAAATCTTTAAGCATGCTATTTTTGAAATATTGGTTTAATTTGAATAGAGTCATATTTAATTTTATAACAAAAATGAAAGAATTGTATCCAAAGATTTGCATTTGACTTCCATATACTTGTATTGTACTGTATTTACAGTATTGTATATTCTCATCATTTAGAGGCATTTAATTTTAATAACTAACAATAACTAGTAAACGATGTATTACTGAAAAAGATGCTAATAAAAACACAATATAATATACTTTATTAAAAATTATTTTTGATAATATTAATCCTTTATTTCAAAACGTTTAGTTTAATAAAATTACAGAAATATAAAAAGGTAATATCATTCTAATAAATATACCCACTGAAATTAAATCAAATATAATTTTTTGTTTAATAAACAAAGTTGTAAAAATACTGTCTAAAACAATAATTATCAATAATATAATTTCCTTATTTAAAAAATTATTTGTATTATTAGTGCAAAATTTTCTATAAATATACAGAAGTGTATTGCCTGTGAAAACCATTAGAATAGCGATCGATAGCTAAGTGAAGGGTATAGCCATTGGATGTTTGCGAGTGTGGAGAGCCATTAGCTCCTCCTCATCACCACTGGATTTGCTGCTGGTTTTGACATTTGCTGGTAATGAGAATCTATAAAATAATGGTTAAACAGAAGTCATTCTTCTGGTGCTGTCATAAACATAAGACATTTCCATTGGACTTAACTGTCGATAAACAATGGCATCTGAATATAGGTACCGATTCTACTCAATATACACATATATTACACATATTCAGTAGTTGCCAACATATCATAAATGGCTTTCATTCCTATAACTATCGACTTTTGGATCTAATTTTGAAAATAATTTCGCTCAACACTAACACTCACTTCACTCCTGCCTCTGGGTATTCGAGATTGAGATGTCATCTCCAGAAGGATTGTCGTCCTCTGTTTCGGACCCCTTCGCTGATTATGTGTTCCCATCTGTATGTGAAGAACGCCATACATCTCATACTTCTTGTGAACAAAATTACAATCAACTAAATAATAATAATAATAAGTGTTCGTCGACTCAACGCAATCATAACTCGCAATCCAATCGCGAATATCATTTACAGTTAGATCCGAGAAATAGCTGTCTTTCTGAAGGTAAGAATTAGTCAAGTATTTCAAACTCAATATAATTTGTGTTCTCATTATGAAAGTCACTGAAGGTATTATATATTCAATACTTTTCTAATATCATTATTCGGATCAGCTATAAAAGATATTCTTAATTATAAATTCTATTAAGATTTGTCGCATAATATCGAAGAATCCAAGTTATATGAGACAGAATTGGATACATGCAGTGGAAGTGGATCTGAGATCACAACTCACGGATATTACTTCTTACATCACAATTGTAAGCAATTTTCTATAATACATTTTATTTTCAATTTATTATCAGTATTTAAACAATTGAGAATTTATGGATTTTAATGGATAGGGGCGTTATTATTACTATACAAAAATTTAGTTCCTTTATAGTATAAAGTTTATACAGTAGATACTAACAAATCAGATTTATGTATTCAATGAAACCAAATATTCTAATTATTTACTACGAATATAAAGGATTTCAATATTTTTAAAGTTATTTAGTTTGTGTCAATGTAAATAAATAGACATTTAAAGAGTTTACGAAAAAAAATTAAAGCAATTTCTACCGTAATTACTATTTTTATAATATCTACAAAAGTGTACTTAAGTGCAGAATCTAAGATAGATTTATGAAAACATGTTTTGTCATTCAGAACAGCTTTAAAAGACAGTCAATTAAACGAAACTTTAAATGATTGATTGAATGAGTTTTTGTATTCATTAATATTAGCTGTGATTTTGTCAGCAAATTCAATGGATTAGCAATCAATTGGATATTGTTGTAGAAATGTGTTAATCTTAATCTTAATCTTAATCTGATAAGTGTTGTACTAGTGTTGGCTCATGCGATGGCTCCCAAACATTGTTCCACTTTTGAAGCAAATGAAGTTTTGCCCAAAACTAACATTTGAAGCGCTTATCTGTATCAGCTATGCTGAACTCAGATTATAAGTTAGTGGAAAAAGGTTTCGATATTTCCAGAAATTTTTGATAGTATTTCGAGAATATAAGAAATTCCATGTAAAGTCAAAATATGGTAAGTATTATTTATGACAGCCCTTAATTATAAAAAATTATAATATTTTGAAAAATATCACTTTTATTAATATCAATGATTAGTATGATTTTTTATTAATATTTCGAATAAAATTATTTATAAAATTTGCTTAACTATCTTAAATTTCATTAAAATATATTAATAAACCTTGTTTAATTTTAATTATACTCTCCATGGAATTTCCTATATTCCCGAAATACTGTCAGCAATTTCTGGAAATATCGAAACCTTTTTCCACTAACTTATAATCTGAGTTCAGCATAGCTGTACCTTGTTTAATTTTAATTATACTCTCCATGGAATTTCCTATATTCCCGAAATACTGTCAGCAATTTCTGGAAATATCGAAACCTTTTTCCACTAACTTATAATCTGAGTTCAGCATAGCTGCTTTATAGTATAAAGTTTATACAGTAGATACTAACAAATAAGATTTATGTATTCAATGAAACCAAATATTCTAATTATTTACTACGAATATAAAGGATTTAAATATTTTTCAAGTTATTTAGTTTGTGTCAATGTAAATAAATAGACATTTAAAGAGTTTACGAAAAAAATAAAGCAATTTCTATCGTAATTACTATTTTTATAATATCTACAAAAGTGTACTTAAGTGCAGAATCTAAGATAGATTTATGAAGACATGTTTTGTCATTCAGAACAGCTTTAAAAGACAGACGATTTAAAGGAAGTTTAAATGATTAATTGAATGAGTTTTTGTATTCATTAATATTTTGTCTGCAAATTCAATGGATTAGCAATCAATTGGATATTGTTGTAGAAATGTGTTAATCTTAATCTTAATCTGATAAGTGTTGTACTAGTGTTGGCTCATGCGATGGCTCCCAAACATTGTTCCACTTTTGAAGCAAATGAAGTTTTGCCCAAAACTAACATTTGAAGCGCTTATCTGTAGACCCATTCATATTTGAAATGTATATCAATTCAATAATTGGAAAGCAGAGCATAAATGGTTTGCAATTATTGATTGTGTATTCAATTGTTTCAAATAAGTCAGAGACCAATAAGGAGTCCATCGCAAGGGCTCTGTTGTCCGATTGAACTCTGAGTCAAACCCGAAAACTTGCAGACAATGGACACTGCGATGAGCCCTTCAATAGTGGATACAAAGCAATGATGGGGTCGGGAGGCTATCCATCGCACGGGCCATACAAAGTTCAACGTAATGCAGCCAACATTCGCGAGAGGAAAAGGATGCTCAGCATTAACAGCGCTTTCGAGGAGTTGCGGGTTCACGTACCCACCTTTCCCTTCGAGAAACGGTATTCATATTATACTCTGTACATGTCCATATATTATAGCTTGCTCATTCGTTCATAAACATCAAATGAATTTATCAGTTATTTAATACTGTATACATATTCCTAAAAATATATTATAAAGAATTTTATTTTATTGAAGGAGCTAGAATTATTGAAACAGTTATTGAAGTCATCTAGTAGAATTCTAAACATATATAGAATTGAAAAAGTGATATATTAAAAGAATTCTTATTAAATGGTTGACATTTGCTTGGTGACAGACTGTCCAAAATCGATACCCTGAGACTAGCGATTGCTTACATAGCGCTGCTTAAAGAGATCTTAGCGTCAGAATACGATCCAATCACTTATATTGAGAAGTGTCTGAAAGGGGAGATCAAGGGAGAGCACACACACGAGTGGAATACTAGTGGTTCGTCCATTTCTCAATATTTTACTGTTAGGCCTCACTTTCTAATACATACTGTCCATTAGATCTAACGGCAAGACTTTCGTGGATTAATTGGGAGAACTTAGGAGTGAATCCGAACCGAAGAAATATAGGTTCTCTTTCTCCCTTCACCAGAGCCTCAAGCCTTCAACAACAGAGCGATATGTCGGGTCCTCCCCATCCCTACCATTTCAATGACCGCTCTCTAAGGAATTGAAATCACTTTCAATTCACATCTACTCTATTGTACTCAAAGACTACTGTATAGTCTTATTATTATTTTATGGCTATATTTATATAATTTGTAGTATAATTGTTTTAAATCTATTCTAAGTACTAGTCAACATAAAAATTAGTGCAATTCTTTGCTAATCAATATAATATTGTATTACATATATGTATTTATTTTCATTTTAAAACTAATTTGAATTTCTTTTGTAAGATTGAAGTTGTGATTAAAATTAAATTGAAAATTGTGTATAACTGTAAGATTTAGTCAATTGATTGGAGAGAATGTGATTATAGTGCAAACAACTTATTTTTATTTAAATATACTTCTCTAACAGTACTTATTATGAGTAGAGAGCTTATGGCAAAGCAAATGATTTGTGAATAAATACAATAAAAGTTGTTAACTATTAGCGATTCAACTGAATTGAATAATCCAGTGGTGAGTAAAGCAATTTTTCTCCCTTCACCAGAGCCTCAAGCCTTCAACAACAGAGCGATATGTCGGGTCCTCCCCATCCCTACCATTTCAATGACCGCTCTCTAAGGAATTGAAATCACTTTCAATTCACATCTACTCTATTATACTCAAAGACTACTGTATAGTCTTTTATTATTATTTTATGGCTATATTTATATAATTTGTAGTATAATTGTTTGAAATTTATTCTAAGTACTAGTCAACATAAAATTAGTGCAATTCTTTACTAATCAATATAATATTGTATTACATATATGTATTTATTTTCATTTTAAAAGTAATTTGAATTTCTTTTGTAAGATTGAAGTTGTGATTAAAATTAAATTGAAAATTGTGTATAACTGCAAGATTTAGTCAATTGATTGGAGAGAATGTGATTATAGTGCAAACAACTTATTTTTATTTAAATATACTCTGCTCTAACAGTACTTATTATGAGTAGAGAGCTTATGGCAAAGCAAATGATTTGTGAATAAATACAATAAAAGTTGTTAACTATTAGCGATTCAACTGAATTGAATAATCCAGTGGTGAGTAAAGCAATACCTATGCTTTGATTACTGACTGGTGATAGGATAGGCCGATGGTATGGGTTGTTAAGTCCCTAACAAAGACACGTGTCTTTAAATCTGTTATTCAGGAGGAGCTGATCCTTATAGCCATTGCTGACAATTGATTGCATAGCAAGTGGTCGGAAGCAAACCCTATATCCAACAAAGCAAAGCCTATACACAATAGTAGTGAATAGAACACAGACTAATGCATTGCCGCACTCATAGCACGTGTTGGTTAAAGGGAATGGTAGTCGCGTGCCATTAAAACATTTGTATGAATTGGCAGCTCCTGTAGGGCCGGTGGTGTCACACCATCGATGAGACAAATCATTAGTTCGACACAATTGTTACGCTTTACGTCATTATAAGCGCTCAGGGATTCAATGGCTTTCCTTTTCACCGAAAGCTTCTTTTGTTCGCAACTTTTGCTAAATTTTTGTGGTTTTCATAAAAACGATTAAAACTATAAATATTTGCGAAAATAACATAGCTTATGTAAAGTTGGCTATAATCTGTAGAGTGCGATAACTGTTAGCTCTTTACTAGAAATGCTCCTCAGGTTTATAAATAGCATTCAAATCTTTATTAATAGAAACATCGCCTCAAATGACTAACTTTAGAAACAACGGAAAGCAACACTCATTTGTCACACAATTACACAATCAAAGCACAGCTTACGTAACATTTAGTCTAATTATAGACACTTATCTCATACTTGGCATCTATAGCGTACCGAAAGTCAAAGAAATGTTTGTGTGATATATGACGAGATGTTTACTGGAAAATGCTTTTCTCGTGTTTTGCATAACTTGTGAATCCACACAAAGGCTTACATAATTCATAAGCAATTCATACAGAATATTCAAACGATTTAAATGTTTGTGTGATATATGACGAGATGTTTACTGGAAAATGCTTTTCTCGTGTTTTGCATAACTTGTGAATCCACACAAAGGCTTACATAATTCATAAGCAATTCATACAGAATATTCAAACGATTAGATTGTAAACTGTTTAAAAAATTGACTCATTATTACAACTGATAAAACAATGAGTGAATCGGACGAGAATAAGACAAACCGATTGCCGGGACTGTACGGCAATACAGACCTGGGTTCCCGTATAACACAGTTTCAGGAGCGGGCGGATCAGCACAAAGAGAAGCAGAAACTCAACCCTTTCTCCGGCTCTTTCGATGCCGTGTCGGCCGCCAAACAAAAACTCAATAAAGAGGATCCGAAGTAAGTGTTCACTCATGTAATATAATTGACAATACCTTACCTTTGGATGCCATGTCATAAGCTATGGTCGACCCGTGGAGGGCAGCAAAACGGAGCAGAGGGGCAAACAGGCCGCACAACTGCTCTTCAATGAGATTAAGCTGTTGTGCGAAATAATAAGCAAACACGGCGTGGATGCGGGGGAGGGCAGGCATACCATCACATTCAAGGAGTTGTTCGAACTCTACAAAGTCATCTCCAATAAAGTGGTCGGTCTTCTCATCAGAGCCCGAAAGCATCGTTTGATTGACTTCGAGGGCGAAATGCTTTATCAGGGAAGGGATGACAACATTGTCATCACTCTTCTGCGGGAACTGCACGAGAAGGACGTCGAGGAGTTCGCAAAGACTAAAGAATAGCACATTTCTCACTAACAATTCGATTAACTTTATTGACATTAATTATGATAACATTTATAACTTTTTTTTGCTTTTTTGGTTTTTATATATTATTTGCAATGTTTTCCAATTAAAAAATAATTAAATAAAATGAATAAACGAAAAATGCGGGCAAACAGTGATTTTTAACAAATGGTGTCTTTTGTGTCAATTTTATATTAAGTTAAATAAAAGCAAATTAAATCAAATCGGGAAAGAGTTCTGTGAAAGTGTGGTCTAAAGAGTCATCCGATGTGACAACCATTTTGTGGTCCAATTTGAATGGCGGCGAAGGGAG